CTTGTCCCCATCATTTCTGATGGGCTATACGCTAGGGAATTAATATTCTACAAATTAGGAAACAAATAACTATTTCAGTTTTAACTTCATTTAGTGATATTGAAATTAATTGCTCATAAATTCACTATATGAAACATGTATCCTGAAACTCTGATAGTCTCACTGAACTGTTTAAGGTATATAAGTAAAAGTAAATGACTAATGGTTCTACTACAGGTTAGGGAAAATAAACAACTATCACAAAAACCACCTTACCTGTTCTATCAGCTAGATGTAGGTGAGATGAATCAAACACAGGCAGCATACGACAAAATTCAGGAGAGTAGTATTAAAGGAAATCAAATATTAGTATTTAGTTATCATTGATGAATTATTACTAATTAAACTAACAAGGTTTCTATTATGATATTTCATTCCAAAATAGTTATCAAATAATATATGTAGTTATTATGTGCACTTAGAATGGATATCATCTACAAGTTCTGGATAAAAGAAAAAATTTATTAACAAATCTAAGATATACTGAAATAAGACATTTCGTAAAAACCATTAATTAAGGCAAAGTGGCTTAAAGGTTACAACAATAAAAAAATATTATGGTGGCTTTTACAAATTCAGAGAACATTTCCTTAAAAACGATAGAACAAATATAAATACAGTACAAACTTTGATATCTGGCATTGTAACTGAAAATTTTAATATTTCCAAATGCAAGTTCTCATTATAGCTTAGTGACAGTGCTTTACATTCCTTCCTGCTGGCAAGCTTGAGTTGTTAGCCACCTCTACTATAGTTATAAATGTTTTTATATAGGTTAAAGTTTTTACAACATTTATTACTGTTCAAAACTATTATTGTTATAGATGATGTAATAATGATGTATCTTAGAACATAATTCTTCCTGTAAAATACAAGGGAAGCTCTTAGAACATAATTCTTCCTGTAAAATACAAGGGAAGCACTTCTGTAACTGGAATTTACTCCCGTCCAGCACTACCCAGTTGTGGCAGATGCAAGATAAAGCTTTTACTGTACGTGAAAAATAAAAATTTAACTATTTTATCATAAAACTGCATATTTTTTACAACTTACTTATGTAAATAACAATATAATCTTTTTAATGTTTAGTGCTTTTAGACCATTCAAGTTTATTTGTGTGAAACATATAAAAATAACTCATGAACACTGTTTGGGTCATAAGGTTTCTCGTTTCTGTCTTTCATTGATTTTTTGAACCTACGTATTTTCTTAACATCATTATCATTATCAGTGTAATATATTGCTCGGATCTCTTTGCATAATCCCATACCTTAATATCGAGCCACCTTAATCTTGTATGTGTTCTTAGCAACTTAAGTATCAAAGTTGATACAACCTGTTACATCTACTGGTTCTCTTAATTTAACATTGCATCATTAAAACCGTACTTGTGGTTGATAATTTTAATGGTAAACACTCGCATTTGTTTCTAACGACACGGGTTACTTTTTGATATTCCTTGCAGCAAACACACACTTACTCTTAAATACCCCAGTAGTTGATAGTTCTTGTAACAAACAATCACACTTGATCCTAACTATTCCCTAGTCATTTGATTCTTCTTGCAACAAACACTCACACTTGGTCCTAACTATACCCTTGTTATTTGATACTTCTTGTAACAAACAATCACACTTGATTCAAACTATACCCTAGTTGTTTGGTACTTCTTGCAACAAACACTTGCACTTGATCCTAACTATACCCTAATTGTTTGATACTTCTTGCAACAAACAATCACACTTGATCCTAACTATACCCTAATTGTTTGATACTTCTTGCAACAAACAATCACACTTGATCCTAACTATACCCTAGCTGTTTGATTCTTCTTGCAACAAACACTCACACTTGATTCTAACTATACCCTAGTTATTTGATACTTCTTGTAACAAACAATCACACTTGATTCTAACTATACCCTAGTTATTTGATACTTCGTGCACTGAGGTATCTTGAGACCTATTTAAACTAGATATTATGCCATATTCAGAGTTCTATTTGACTTTGTAGCAATGATTTTTAACTAATACTACTGAAGATTTGTTATTCTGTATCTCTTTTCATTCTTAGAATTTATAAACTGATAAGAAACTTTTTCTTTAATGAATTGTTTAAATGTACAGTTTATTTAATGTTTATTAGGCTTTCCATTTTGTTGTTATCTGTAATCTTTAATTTTGTTGTTTATCTTATACTTTGGCAACTTGTGGTGGTGTGGCAGAGATTCATACCCGTTTATGAAATTCTCAAGTTAATCAGCTGAATTTATTTTTTCTTATACATATTATGAAACATATTTAAACAGAATTTTCCTGTAGTTAAATAAAAGGGATTTTTATTAAAACCTAATTATATTGATTGCTCTTTTTTTTAATCTAGTAACTGATACAAAAAACATTTAACCGTGTATCTATTTACCATCCAACCTGGTACAGTTTAGAAGGTACACATACTGATACTTTATAATTCATTACATCTAAAGCTTAGCATCCAGTTTATGAACCAATCCCAGGGTGAAATGATAATTATCAAAACATCTTTTTTTTTTTTCTTGATCATCCTTTTTGACAAAAAAACCAATAGAAAAGAATCAGTGCATCACTGATATTCAATTTTTTGTCAGTCTGTTTATGCCTAAGTATGTATGAAAAAAAAATGCACCTATAAAAGAATATGTTTCTAATTCAAGTTACAAAATGTGAACACACCTGTATAAATATCTGGGTAAAAACAATGCTTTTTCAAATGAAACTCTTTTAAATAAATAATTTTAAAAGAATTAAAAAGTTTCTACTGAACCTTTTCATAGACAGCTATCTTAGAATTTGGAACCCTTACAAATGCATTTATCTTACCGACCCAAACTTGTGAAAAAGAAGATACTGTTCAGCCGTTGGATGCATTCCTACTGTTTGGAGTTTCCAGTTCATAATCTAAATTTAAAAAAGATTTACACACTTCAATTATCAGTGAGCAGTTGTAGCCTAGAATTTTTAACTTTTAAATTTCTGTTGTTGGTTGTGTTACTTTGTTGCATTTGGTAAAATATATTAAAAAGATACAAATGTTCTATTTTTTAAATTTCAACTTTCGTATAATCATATTCACCAATAGGCTTACCTTCAAAAATAAACTACCTAACAGAAATTTCAATTACTTACTAATTCCATGTTACTATCACTTCATTGAAACATAAACTCAATATTCACAACACTAAACTATTTAAATATCTAGTTAACTGGCTGATTAATTACTGACTCGCTCTAGCCTAACTTGTTTGATATATTAAGTTTTACAGAAAGTTCCAGACATTGTAATGTCATGCCCCTTACATTTTCTCAAATTTGCTCCCTACTAAAACACAAAGAAAACACAAGATACAACAATACTAATCTTAAAGAGGCCATTATGGACATTTTAATGTATTTAATAATATAATTCATATATATTTGAGAACTAAAAAAAACTGGAACCAAAACCTTTCATCATTACAATAATTTTTTTTTCTATTACAACAGAGACTGTAAATCAGAGAACTAGTTATCATAGGACAACTGTATGTATAAAGCAAAGAAGATAACAGGACATAGAAATAATGTATTTTATCATCAGAGCAAGTTTTTGGAATTAAAAAGATAGTAGACTAAAGAAAATGTTTACTGTACAAGAGTAACAACCACATGTGGAGCACAAGAACAGAAAACTAACTATTTTTGTTTTTTTTGTACGTGGGATCAGAATAATAACAGGAGGCAACAGTTTCAATTATTGGGACAACCTCAGTGACATACACGTGTACTAGAGAGCAACAGCTAAATCACAAACTTATTTTGTGAACTGACTAACTGATTTTTCATAATAACTTTTGAAAATATATGAGAAAGCATGTTATGCCTATAACCTGTGATGATAACACACTAAATATTTTCTTGTATGAATACTGTAAACCAAAGTAAAATGACAAGAGTAAATTTAAAATTTCATCATCATGAGCTATTATGAACTACAGACAAAATACGTGGTTCTGGACATCTTTTGAGAATTGCATTTACCTCTTATTTATCACTACAGTCTCCATAGTCAATAATTGAAACAGAAAGTTTAAACATTTCATTAATGTGAACTACAAAGACACTAACATTTTCCAGACTTCGAAAAACAATGAAATTAAAAAAATATATGGGACATTCGTTAAGTTGAAAATGAAAATTCAATTTACTTTTAATTTATAAACTACCTGACTACTAAAATGCATATATTTCTGATAAGTGTGAAATGAGAAGTAAGAATTTCTAGAATATTTTTCTCACAAGTATTTTGAAATTAAAAAAATGAAAATTCAGATGCCACACACCATAAACTGACTATTGCTAAGTTGAAGTGACTAGAGTGCAGTTTTCTATTTTTCTATCACACATTACTCAAGTTTACAGATATAGAGGGCATATAAATTGTATAATAAAATCACTATGACAGCAACTTATGAATAACACAAACCATGCCTTAATGTGTTTTACATAAATCCTTAACCATGAAATAGTCTATTGAGCCCTATGCATACATGAGGGTCAAAGTACACGTCACAACCTTTTTAAGAGTTACATTCAAAATTTAATTAAACAACTTTATTATCAATATGCATCAATAAGCTTGACATCAAAACATAGTATATTTCAAAGTTTTATACTGTCTAAATTTTAATTCTTTAATTTCAAAAGAAAATATTTCAATAAATTCTCAAACTTCACTTCTCTGTATCACATGATGCATCTGTGCTCTGAATTGCTCATTTTAAACTTTCTTCTTACCCTTATATGATCTTTTGAGTGTCCCACCAATTACACACTTGTACTATTGATATTGGCAAGCCAGAATGTATAGTTTTAACCTCAAATCTTTTTGCTTATCTAAGATATTAAAAATAAAATACACATCCCATGCCACTCCTATTTCATTCTGTCTTTCAAAAAATGCCAATAATTCTCTCTGACATTTGATACTGAATTATTTATAACCAACATAAAGAGCTAATTGTTTCTTACATGATTCATTAGGAAGCTAAGTTCATTTTATTGCTCATAATTATTTGGCCTCAGTTTCATTTTTTGTGATTGTGATCATGCTTTTCTACTCCAAGCATTAAAGTGAATTTTTTAACATATTAATTGCTTAGTTACAAAGCCACTTAAATTACAGCTGTTTCAAGGTAGTATATTCTATTGTCTAATATATGTTTTGTGTTCTAAAATGTATGTTTGTAAGTTTCAAGAATTTTTATGTGAATAATTAAATTTGTGAAAAAAGTGAAGCCTAGCTAGTTATGGTTTGCGCTTTCAAAGATCATGATGGTCATATACCTTTGCTCGTGGTGTTTATGACCTAAATCTAATTACCTCATGCTGTGGTTATTGTTTTTGATAAAAGGATCAGTGCCCAAGTTGGCACTAAGCTATAAATTTACAGAAAATAAATGTGAAAAGTTCAAGATAAGAAATATATGAAACAAGGGAAATTACGCATCAAAAGAAGAAAAAATATATTATTTATTTTATTTCATATTTTTTCAACTTGTCCTTTCACTGTACATTGATCAGATTCATGATTTTGATACAGTTAGTGTTGAGGTAAATGAAATATCAGATAAAATATAAAGTTTTACCAGAAGAAACTTGATTACAGATCTAGGATGGTCTAGAGGTTATGCAAATGAAATATGAAAACTGTAAGATGTGAAACGTATTTTTATTATTAAGATGAAAATTACTATGCACTCAGACTAGTCAAGTGTCAAGTTCTTATTCAGACTAATTCAGTACATTCACACACAAATCTTTAGTAGAAATAGTTTTTAAAAATCCTGACTTTTTTTATGTACAACATACTTGTAATATTTACTAAAAGCGTGAAACATTTCGTGAAAATATACATAGCAATTCCAGATTTAAAGTAAATATTAATTCTACAATACAGCATCACTCTAATGAAACAACCATGCACACAGAGTTAACAAGTACTCTTCTATCACTGTTATGTTACTACATAAGTTATATGTCTAAAACAAATTAATCACAATAACAGTAAAATTAATAATCTGGCATCATTTTCTTTCCGTCACTACTGTAGCTATTTCCCATTTAGTTCCTAAAGATACATGTTAATATACACAGACCTATTACCCGTATCTCAATCAATAAACTCACCTTGTCATTAAAATACTCCATTATACCTGCAACAGTAGAAGTACAGTGAATGAGAATGTTACCGAGGACACGATCTGGGAAAGCCATCTGAAAAGTAAACATCTTAAAAGATCACGATTTAACAAGAAAAATTACATTCTCAGTCTGAGTACTGTAAAACTGCAGTGTGTGTGTGATGTTGAATAGAATTTAGAGAAGAATTTAGTTATTGAAACTTCTGGCAGTAAGAGGATTTTTTAAAAGAAACTTGTTTATATATTAGAGAATCAAAACTAATTGAGGCCTTGCAATAAAGTGATACATTTTGAAAGCTTGTGTTAAGGTTTATTAAAATTTTCAGAAAGGTGTTTAATCGCAACCACAAACATCAACTGTGAAAAAACAAAAATAAGTACAGAATTAAGGTCAAAGAGCAATTAATACTCTTAACTGTTGAACTAATGGTTTAAGTATTCTGGGAAGCCTATAGCAATGACATCTTAGTATTATAATTTCTCCAGAGAAATTTGTATGAAATCCTTTATGTTGAAATTGTCATTGTTCTAAGAAATTTTTTAAATCCTACTTAAAAGATTGAGGAGGAACAGTCTTTTTTAAATACCAATTTAAAATATTTTTCCACTAGCTACTGCTAATAAAGCATTTTTTTCAACCAACCAATCAGCCATCACATGTACTCTTCACCACCCAAAAACAAGGTTCATCTTTGACCCTACAAAGTTAAGGTTTCTTTTCAGTTGGACACAACTCCGTAATGTCTCAGGAAGCATTATCAATAACTCCTTCCGGAAAATAAAATATCACATGAGGTAAGGAAAATAAAGTGCTTTTACTCATTGAATTAAGAGTTTACCTAGCAGTAGCTGCAAAAAAAAAAAGACACTGAAAGAGCTCAGCCATTACAAAGTAATTTATTTTAGTGCTATAATTAATCATTACACAGCTATCAAGTATAAACAGATGAAAAAAGTAGTTCAAAGAATTTATCTAAGGCACAGTGTTAGTTTCATAATTTCTATCTGTGTGGCCCTTAACTGTATGAAAGATGCAACCAGTTACCAGCTTCACCCTTATCTTAATGAAGTTTTTAAATTGGTAACTAATGTGTAAGCAGGTATTGTAGTTATTCCTAAATATGTTATACCCAATGGATCAAATAAAAAAATTTAGTATAATAAGATCACTATAACAGTTGCCTACAAATAATTACAATGAGTAATGTGTTTTACACATATATTTAATCAGAAAACAACCTAACAGACTGAGGACACACTATCTGGATCTAAATACATTGTTTAATGATTTTTATAGGGTTAAGATATTTCACTGTAAACAATTCATCAAATTGTCATCCAGCAGATAAAAAAGTGACAAACTTACAGCAAAGCGTGCCAGAATGTTGGCTCCAGCTCCTTCACCAAGCGTGACCACACATTTCACCCTAATTAAAATAAAACATGTTAAAAATATAATTCACCATTAAATATTTAATTACTTAACATTAAGTAAATTTCTGAGAGTCTTCCCTCTACACAAAAATTATTGAAACACACAATCACCTCTGTTGTTGAAACGTTGCATCTTCAGAGCTAGAATGATTTGTAATACAAGTGAATGCTAATATGTAAACTCCCTTTTCTTTATGTATGCTTCATTTCGAACAGAAATAGATTACTCCAATAAAATAGGAAGATATGCAGGTAATAATATTTGTTTCAAACCATAAGGATCTTTTAGGTTATGTACTGTTTCTTAATTTCCTATAACAAGACTAGCAGAAAAGTCTCAAAGTATCCATAAAATGTAGATTCAAGATTGTTAAGCAACAAATAAACTGAACACGGGCAGTAGAGGAAAACACAAATGTAGTTTAAAAAATCAATAATTCTTTATCTAAAATAAAAAGGGTATTCTACTACCTAAGCTGGTTAGGCTTCTTCTGTAGCATCTGGTTGCCGGGGTCGACAAGAGCAGAGAATCAAAAGCAAAAGATAAAACTATGGAAGCACCTAGCTCAAAAAATCCAAGTAAAACAAAGAAAGTAAAGTATCCCACAATTCAACTTAAACCAATAATCTACACACAGTCTTAAGCCAAGCTAGATGTATGGGTTTCTGAACTGCCTGTTTCAGTAGGCTATCTTCCAAGAAATCCATATAGAAACACATACACACAAGCTTTAAATATGAGGTTGCAATATGTAGCTTTTAACTGTGTAAAAGGATTAACATGTTTACAGCTTAAAACATATGGTAAATGGGAATGTCACTATTGCATGGAAATTTAGAAAAATATTACTTGAATATACTTGAAAAATAATGCATTCTAAACTAGTTATGGAAGAATGAAATTCATGACTAATTTCAGTCATTACACTAAACCTAAGTTCCAAAAAAAAGTAAAAGCTGAAGACTAATTTTGATTCTGAATACATATTACCACTGGTATTATGCTGCTAAAACGACTATAGCTTCTTGGAATATGATAGATACACCTTGTATGAAACAACTGTTAATTAATTTAAATTAATACCTCAAAAATAATAATATACAGTTTTAAGGACTGCTATGAATGATATGTGCAGTTCAAAGTTGGCTGTAAGAAAGAGCAAACATTTTATTAAGCTCAATGAAGTACAGAAAAAATCTACAATCCAAAACTAGCATCACAGAGAAATGAAAGTTAACATAGGTACTTATCTCCTCTCACACAAAAGGCTATCTTGATCACTGACTACCCTCTAAGCATTGCTAAAAGAATTTTAGTAATCATTGCACCAGTCTTTATACACCACCAGTTTTGCGCCATTTCTAAACACATACATATCATAATTACTCTCCACCAAATAGTATTGCACCATCTATAACAGTGCAACTAGCTCCCTCTGCTATTCCCACTCAATCCTCACTTTCCATAATTGGCAGATACTAGAATAAAAACACTGGTTCTAGTGGGGAAGAAGGGTGAGAAGTGTGTGAAAGGATGTGAGTAGCTATCGGAAATACATTTTCAGTGTAAAAAAATTTTAACTTCCGAAATGAACTCTCACACCAAAAACCAGAATCACACATTGCAAAGGTAGAGAGCCAGTGTAGCTGCACAAAGAACATACCAAGTGGAAAGCAACTGCTCAGAATGAACAGGTGTGCTTGGAGATGAAAATGAAGCACACCTGTGAAGTACCATACTACTTCTGTAACAGGTATGCTTTTTGCCCTGGAATTACGAAAGTAACATAAAATGGGCAGAAAAGGTAATGCTTGCACAATCATAAGAGCATTACGAAGGTGCAAGCTGTATCAACATATAAGGAGATAAAAATAAATGTAATAACAACATGTGGCTTCGGCATGTGGACCTTGTTATCGATACCTAACAACCCCAACTGTAAGTAAACAAAGTGCCATATATCAAGCAACCAGAATTACGAAGAGGAAGTGAACAAACAGTCGTAACCTGACAAACTCCCAAAACCAATGTGGGAGCAAGAAGTACGACAAACTAAACCCGGCATTACAGGATCTTGGCATTTCCTCAACTCTCCTGTAAGAACTGGAAAAGCTGTAACCAATATTATGGGCAAAATCATACCTCACTCAACCATCAATGCAGGGTAGAAACATCCTATATCTGGAATTATGATGAGGACAAGCAGCATTCCCCCAACTGTAGGAACAGAATATGGACATCTTGCCATTGGTATTATGAAGCAGACGAAGTCTCTCAAACCCAACCGTAGTAGCAGGAAATAACTTTTTGCATCTGGAATTAAAAAGAAAATAGGCATCTACTTCACACAACTGTAGGGGCAGGGCATTATTATCCTGAACCAAGAATTATGAGGAGGATCCCACATAGGCTGGCCCCAAATAATATTTGATAATTGGCAGAAAACATCTGTGGGAAGTGTCAGTAGGGAATTAGCCTTGACCTTTTCTCCTCAGTGGATAAACAAGCATACGTATAGTAACACTCGGGAAGAAGCCTCCATGGTCCACCATCCCAGCAAATGGGACCTGAGAGTGGTAAGAACTTCCATGCTCCACTTAAAGAAAATGGAAGGATAAAAATGCAGTGGCGAGGAACATCACATAGGAGACAGTGCAATGGGTGACTGTGTTTCCCTATTTTGAAAAACAGATCAAACCCAATTTACCAATCAAAGGGTCGGCAGGTATGGGCAGAAATCCCCTTCTGCTTTGCTCATGAAATCCATGAGTGATGGTCTGCTAAAGATACAATTATAATACATAGATATACACATATGCCACCAGGAAAGTGCCCAGTGGTCTTACAGAAACACCCCATCTCAACTGCAAGTGTTGTATAGCATACCTGACTAGACAATACCCACCACTAGATGAGATCATAAAAAAGCTTAGGGAATCTGAAAAGAAAACATAAAAGAAAGAAAATGAGTAGACTTATGTCAGTTACAGGCAAACGTGTGTGCAGAAATGCCACAGAAGGAAGATGATATCAACCAGAGGAAGAAACAGCCAGATCGTGCTGATAATAAGTGATAAAGGTATTGTGGGTTGTCCACATACCAGCCTGGATGATTTCTTCCAAGGGGAGGCGAAGGTGAGCAGCTAAAGGCAAGTCTGAATATGCCATCCTGACGAGTTTACAAAACCAATCAGTGAGAGTTACTGGAGACAGATCATGGGAAACAGAAGGGTTAGTCTGGAATGTGAACCCTGAAATGATGCAGTATAAGCCACATAACACCTCAAGGAACAAAACAGACAAAGAAGCCTATCTAGACTGGAATGGGAGGACGAGTGGAAAATCGAAGGAAAGGAAACAAATCACCATCCTAGGCCCCATAGGCCTCAGGAGAGAAGGACTGCTCATGGTAGAGGATCACTCAAGATGGATGGTAAGGGAACGAGAAACATTAATGGCATAACTTTCGGAACAACGGCATCTACATGCAAGAAGGAGAAAGAAATAAGTCTTAAAGGAAAGATGGTACAAGGACCATGTAGCAAGTGGTTCAAAGGGAGAATGAGAAAGGGCATAAAGGACCACATTAAGATCCCAATCCAGTATAAAAAAGGGATGTGGAGGATGACCAATGTGGAAGGAATGGAAAAGAAGGGAAATGACAGGGGAGGAGAAAATGTTACAGAATTGGGAAAGGAAAGATACTACATGAGGAGTCAGTCCACGGGCTGAGGCAAGGGACTGGAAAAAAGCCAAGTGTGATGATGGATTTTGGTGACATTGGGATGAACTACGTCCAATAGAGGTTTACGGAGGAGAGACAAAGGTAAGGGCAGGGAATGTTGCACATGCAAAGGTCAAAGCAGAGGGAACCAAGGCTCTGCAGAACAATATGGAGCAACCAGCAGGACAATTTAAGGAGTGGTCTGGATGAAGGATAGAACTTTCAATAGGAGTTCAGATTGGAGGGTAAGCATAGATGTGAAGACCCATCCAATCCTGACTGAACATGTCCACGCCCAGAGCTGATGGATATGGAATGGGAGACCAAAAATAATGAAGTTTGGTGTTCAAGCATGTGGCAAAGGCATCGATAAGTTGTGTCCCCAGTTGAGAAACACCCAATGAAAACTTGTGGATGAAAAGACCACTCCATGGGGAGAATCTGGTTGGGACAAGATAAATGATCTGCAAGAAGATTCATGGCAAGCTAACACTGCCATGTTGTGATTGTGGGTGCAGAAAAGAAGATCTAGAACTTAAAAACACAGAGACCTGGATTTGATTTCCCCCTGCTTGGTGATATAATTGACGACCATAAAATTGTCAAAGGGGACCACGACCATCCGTTCATGCAGGAATGGAAGGAAATGGGTGAAAGCCTGACAGACTGTCAAAAGCTTGAGGATGTTGATGTGGAGTGCAGACTCCTCTACAGACCACAGACCGGAAATCTCTTAAGAGTTGAGGAAAGCCCCCACACCACCAAAGATGCATCTGTGAAAAGATGAAACTCTGGTCAAATGGGAACCCCCACCATGGTCTGATCCCTATTGAAACACCAAGCTAGGTCCACCCTAAACATGGAACAAGGGTAATAGGATAGTCCAAGGAATCCAGAAAGAAGTTTCACTGATCAAGAAGAGTCCACTACAGTAAATGCATATGAGCTTGACCCATTGGAATGAGAGCTTCCAAGGAAGCCCACATCCCCCCCCAAAAAAAGAACATCTTGAGCCATGAGAGAAGGAGAGATAAGGGCCTTTGTTACTGCCTATTCCATATACCTGAGATGAAGGAGAGAAGACTGGGCCCAACTGAGGTGTGAATTGAAGAGAACCCTCAAAGTTTTTAAATGAAATCTGTTAAAGACCACCAGATGAAACTGGTGAAATTAAGGAGAAACTCTATAGTAAAATAAAGAATTTAGCTGTTAATGAGGTCATAATCATGGGGGATTTTATTATTAGACATATAGAGTGGGAAAAGTTAAGAGTCCAACCATAAGAGAAAGACACTTTTCAGAAACCATTCAAGATGGTTTAATTCAACAATTAGTCAGGAAACCTACTGGGAAGAATGTTATTTTAAACTTGTTGTTAATATAGAAATGGTTGACAGGATGGCGATTATGGAACATCTGGGTGCAAGTGATCATTGCTCTATTAGATTTGATGTTTTACTGTATATGTAGATCAGGAATAATGAGATTTTGGTTACAAATTCTGATGGGATGTGACAAGAATTATCTGTTGTGAACTGGACAACTGAATTAATTTAAGGTACTGGTCAAATGTGAATTTTTAAATATTCAAGATTTGCACATTCCTTATAGAAAAGAAATATATATGGCTGCAAATAAAAAATACCACGTTGGCTCATAAAGGGTATGTATATATATATATATATATATAAAAATCCAGGTTGGCTCATATATATATATAAATCCAGGTTGGCTCATAAAGGGTATACATATATAGGGACAAAAAATGGCTGAAAATGTGAAAATTAACATTAAGGATCTCTTTAACACGTTCACTGCCACAAAATAAATCAAGTATAAGAAAAAGTAAACATTCAAGAAGTGCCCAGAAGCAGTCACAGTGTCCCAAACTCGTATGCCACAAGAGAAATTTGGCTTTGATACATAATTGTCTGTGACCCATTGGTGTATCATGAGGTCCATAACTAAAAGTTGGTTGTGACCCACGGGTGGGGCACATGGCAGCGAACATGTTAAATACATTAAAGGTAAACAAAATGTTAGGATTGGAGTATAGCCTTTGAGGGATGATAGAGAAGGGCTAATATCTGATGATTATGAGATGGATGGGTTATTAAATTCTACTTTTTCTTCAGTTTTTACAAATGAATATATATATAAGCAATATACTTCATTCTGAACAGATGGAAATAACGAGATGATCACATTGATTCTGAGTATAAGAAAAACTGGGAAGTTTATAGAATGTTAAAGTTCTTGGGCCAGATAATATTTACCCAAGGGTTTTAAAAGAGGTTAAATATTAGATATGTGAGCCACTGATATGTTTAAGTCCTTCAATAGTGGCCAGGTGTGAGAAGCATGGAAGTTGACTAATTTTACTCCTCTTTTCACAGGAGGTTATAAAAATCATCTCAGTAATTACAAGCCTATTACTCTTACATCATTGGAGGGAAAGATTTTTGAAAGTCTTTTAAAAGATGCTTTGCAAATTCATTTAATAAAGTTTAAAATTTTGTTGGTTAGTCAACATGGTTTCGCTAAGGGAAAAACCTTGCCTCACTAATTTTTTGACATTCTTTGAAGAGATTACTGCTTATTTAGATGAGGATAAGGGTGTGTGGATGTGGTGTACCTCCATTTTCAGAAAGCATTTGACAAGGTGCCACATAAAATGCTTGTTAAAAAATTGTCTGGAGGTATAGGATAATTTGGCTCACTGGATAGAAAAGTTGACAAATGGAGAAAAATAGAAAGTCATTATAAACCGAGTTCAGTCTCAAACTGGTTTAATGTTGTAAGTGATACCCTAGGGTTCATTGTTAGGACCTTTTTCATTTTTTTTTACATCAGTGACATATATAAAGCATTGGTCAACAAGTTACTTTCAAGTTGCTCATGATTTTAAAGTTTTAAGTGTTGCTGGCTATGAGGAGGATGCGGCTGCTGCTTTACAGAAAGTTATGGATTATTTGGAAAGTTGGGCAGATAAATGATAGATGACTTTTAGTTATAAGTTCAAAGTAATACATTTTGGTTATCATAATTTGAATTAAAAGTATAATTATGATGAAAATAATCTCAACAATGTTAAGAAATAAAAGGATTTTAATGTTCTGGTTGATCAATTTCTTACATCATCCAAGCATTGTTCTGTTGCTAGTGGTAGGACAAACAGGGTTTTAGGTTGTATCTACAGAGATGTTGGATAAAAATCTAAAGAGGTTACATTTAATTGTGTAGGATATTCGGTTAGGCTACATTTTGAGTACTGGGTTCACTTTTAGATTTCTTACCTTAGGAAGGACACTGAATATTTGAAAAGAGAAAGGAGGTCACTGGTTAAGCTGCATTTGGAGTATTGGGTTCAGTTTTAGGCTTCTTATCACAGGAAAGACATTGAATTGTTGGAAAGGATTCAAAGGAAAGATACTGGGATGGAAAGGTTTTCATACAAAGACAGATTAATATCTCAAATTGTTTTCTCTTGAAAAAAGAAAAGTTAGAAGAAATCTAATGGATGTGTTTAAGATCATCATGGGAATTGATAGTGTTGATGCATCATCTCTTTTTGTATTTAGTGATGAGAATGGTAATACAGAGATGACATTCATTTTTACAGGGAAGGAGTCATCTTCAGCTAAGAAAATTTTATTTTTCTAACAAGGTGGTTGGATTTTGAATGTTTTCTCTTCAGATGTGATGGATGCAGTAAATGTAATGGAGTTCGAGGAAAGGCTTGATATATGTTTGAATGATAGGGACTAGGTCTGAGTATTTAATTTTAAGAAAAATTTAGTTGATAGGATGGATTGTATGGACCAATATGTCCCTTGTTGTGCTTCAATTTTATGCCTGTTATGTTAAAACAGCATGAGATACTGCACGATGGAAACTTGATGCTAAATACAATTCAAATTCTCCTCTTAATTGATGTGCTGGACATGTACTCTGACCAACTAAACTAACAGAACTACTTAATGCTGGAATTCTCTCTGTTCCTACTTCGTCGATTGATAAGGATGGAATTTTACTAAGGCTTCTGAGCCATAATAACCAGTTTGTAAAGCCTATAATTGATGTGCTGGACATGTACTCTGACCAACTAAACTAACAGAACTACTTAATGATGGAATTCTCTCTGTTCCCACTTCGTCGATTGATAAGGATGGAATTTTACTAAGGCTTGTGAGCCATAATAACCAGTTTGTAAAGCCTATAATTGATGTGCTGGACATGTACTCTGACCAACTAAACTAACAGAACTACTTAATAATGGAATTCTCTCTGTTCCCACTTCGTCAATTGATAAGGATGGAATGTTACTAAGGCTTCTGAGCCATAATAACCAGTTTGTAAAGCCTATAATTGATGTCAGAAATGAGAATAATGGCATTCAAAAGACCCAGTAAGAATAGAATTTTGAGAGGACTATTAAGTCACAATTATTAATTTGTAATACTCACAATTCATTAATGTAAATTTAAAGATATGATATGTTAATTAGCTAAAAAGTCTACATGTAAGCATTGATGTGGATTGGAATCTCTTCTAGTGTCAGCTTTCAATTCTTCAGAAAACTCTTAACAACATAAGTTGGTTTACACGTTTAAAACAATTCTATTGTTGATTGGGCATATCATGAGATGATAAACATCTTGTTCAAAGGAACTGTAACAAGAAAGTATCAGTGAATTCTAATAATCCCAGATACATTATATTAAGGTTTAATTTAAATGTTAAGAAATAAAACATTAACTTCTCTTTAAATGAAAAGATACATACCTAAAGTATTCTAAAATGTTCACCATATCCTCTCCCAACTCTTGCATAGAGGGAAAAACACAACTGAAAAGAAAGAATACTTTCAATCTTATTACACTAGTTATTCTATAACAGTATATCACAAGGAAATTCAATCTGTTTTCTAAATTATATTACGAGAAATTTTGACACATTTTTAGTGGCAAACAGCAAATAAGTAATAAATTATTTATAAGTAGTTCTGTTCATAAATACAGTAGAATGCCAATTATCTGAACACCAATTATCTAGATCAAACTTGGAAATTATATATATCTGTATATTTTCTTTGAGAAAACCACACAATTGTTAAATCTGTCCTAACATGCTTGGATCATTTCATATCAAAACCATCAGTTGCAAAATTAGCCTTATTGAGTATGAATGTACTTTTTATTTCCTTGAAAATTAAAAATGAATTGTTATTTTTTTAAATCAAAGTTCCTCTTTGTTGGGGTGAAAATGCTTGACAAAAACTAAAGAGTGGCTCTTTCGTTGAGTAACAAAGTGGACATTATGAACAAGTTAAAAAAGTAAATCTGGTAAAAAGCTAGCAGAAAAACATGGTATTGGAACTTCCACAATATCAGACATTAAAAAATCAATAACTCAATTCTTAATTTTGTTTCTGTTTTGGGGGGAGGAGAATGGAAGTTCAGTGCAAAAAGCAATGAAAAAAACAGAAAATGAGAAAGTGGGCAATACTGTTTACATGTGGTTTTTAAAAAAGCAGTCATTTGATAACCCCATTTTAGGCCCTGTTCTTTGTGAAAAGGCTGCAAGTCTTACTGAAAAACTTGATGGTAATCCAGAATTCAAGGCAGGCTCAGGATGACTAAGAAACTTTAAGTTATGACATGTATACTTGCACTAGAAGTTCAAGGATGACTAAGAAACTTTAAGTTATGACATGTATACTTGCACTAGAAGTTCAAGGATGACTAAGAAACTTTAAGTTATGACATGTATACTTGCACTAGAAGTTCAAGGATGACTAAGAAACTTTAAGTTATGACATGTATACTTGCACTAGAAGTTCAAAGAAAAAAATGTTTTTGGAATGGTATGGCAAAATCGTCATTCCTGAGGTTAAAAAATACCCCAAAAAATTCTAAAAGTCAAAATGTTTTGCTTCTTCTAAACAATATGCCCTCTCATCCCTCAACTGAACTTCTGGAAGATGATAACAGCATGTTAAAGGTTATATTTCTCCTGCCAAATGTGACTTCTATAATACAGCCAATGGATCAGGGAGTGATTGAAACACTTAAACATTTATACAGGAAACAACTCTTTTAAAAACTTATTGGCTAACAACGACGTCAACAAAGTCAGCGTTATTGGGGTTTTAAAAACTCTTGATCTTAATGTTGTTGCATAGTGGCTGACTCTTGGAATTTCATAAAAAATACTATGTTGCAGAGGGCATGGAATAAAATTTTAAAAATAGAATCTAAACAAGAGGCCAGAGACAAAGAAGAAACTGCCAATAATATAGCACTAGAGCTAAAAAAAATCCCTCGATGCTTGGATTTTGATTTTGAAGATGTCAAAAAGTAGAAAGTAGATAAACTGTGATGCTGATGACCCTGGCTACTAACTATTAACAAAAGAGATCATCAAAGATGTACAGGAAGAAGACAAGAATGATGATAAAGATTATAAGGGGCTTTCACATGATGAGGATTTTCAAATGCCCGGACACTGCAATGACATGGTTGGATGGGCAGGAAGAGTATGACTCTGTTCAGCTGCTGTGTTTGAAAAGATTGCATGACTTAGCTGCAAAAAAAGGAGGTCTTTCATGAAGCAGTTGTCAATCACTCAGTTATTGTCGTAAATAAATTACAGTAATGGTATGAAGTCAGTTGTTTAATGTGAACATTACACAGGTAAATGGAATCATTTCTTAATTATGCCTTCAATGATTTTTTATTTGTATCAACTGTATGTAAAATATATGTTTAAGATACAGTTTTTTGTTATGTTCATGATACAATTTTTTTTATTAATATCAGTTATCCAGATATTTGATTATTCAGACCACCCTTAGTCCTAATTAGTCCAGATAATTGGTGCTCTACTGTATTATAAAACAATAATTAATACGCAAACATATAATGATAAATCTTTTTGTTGTGAACAGTGTTGAATACTTGTGGATGACTCAAAAATTACAAACAAAAAAGTAATAGCTATTTGCAGGTCAGCTTTATGGATATGGTTTTACTGTCTAGTGGGAGAAATATTACAGCCTGTTTCAAGGAGAGAAATAACATACTCTGGTGGCAGATCTCCTGCATCGTACTCCTGTCCTGGAATCTCAACATGAAGAAACACAGAACGGGACTTTATTCTTGCCATGGATGGATGTTCGGTGAAAGAGTGGAATTCTGTGTCTGTTTCACAAAATTGAATTAATAACAACAGTAAGAACTTTAAACTTATATGATATATAAATTAAGGTTCGATCTTGCTCAGCATTCTAGCAATAGCTGCAACACTTAGGTACATTTCTGTTCATCTACTCAACAAATTCAATTTAGAAATTTTGGGGTAATGAAGGGTTTTAAAGCTTTTTTTCCCCCTCTGTTGAAAATTTAATAAGAATGTAAATATATCATTAAAAATTATCATAAGGAATACAAGCTTGGATTAATTCCTATAGCTGACATTTTGTAATATAAAGATTAAATTATCTATGGAGCTCCCAGCATTTAAAAACTAAGACAAATAAGAAAAAAAAGGCAAAAACAGAATAAGAAAAATATGACACAAAAAATTCAAACTGACTGGATGATGACTAACATGTAGCCCTGTGAGGATTATGGGATGATTACTGAAGTGTAATCCTGTGAAGACTATGGAATGATCACTAATATGTAATTTCTATGAGTATTATGGAATGATTGCTGATGTAATCCTATGGGGATTATGGGATGATCTCTGAAGTGTAATCCAATGAGGATTATGGGATGAACACTAATATGTAATTCTATGAGTATTATGGAATGATTGCTGATGTAATCCTATGGGGATTATGGGATGATTGCTGAAATGTAATCCTGTGAGGATTATGGGATGATTGCTGAAATGTAATCCTGTGAGGATTATGGAATGATTACTGAAGTGTAATCCTGTGAAGACTATGGAATGATCACTAATATGTAATTCTATGAGTATTATGGAATGATTGCTGATGTAATCCTGTGAGGATTATGGGATGATTGCTGAAATGTAATCCTGTGAGGATTATTAGATGACAACTAATATGAAATCCTATTAGTATTATGGAACGATAGCTGAAGCACAATCCTATGGGGATTATGGGAAGATTGCTGAAATGTAATCCTGTGAGGATTATGGGATGATCTCTGAAGTGTAATCCAATGAGGATTATGGGATGATTCCTGAAGTGTAAATCTGTGAAGACTATGGGATGATCTTGATCACTGACATGTAATCCCATGAAGATTATGGGATGATCACTGACATATAACACTATGAGGATTATAGGATGATTACTGACATGTATTCCTGTGAGGATTATTGATGCATAAAATTTATCAAACTAAGATTTAAAACAAAATTTTAGTAAGAATATACTGACCAAGATATTTGAATAAATACAATTTTCTAACATATTTTCAACCAAAGCTTATAAAAAGCAAAACTGAAAAAATAAATAACATACTAACTAACTCATAAAACCAAAGAATCACACTGGAATAAAATGTGTAACAAGGTAATGTTTAATACTGGAATCAAGTCATGAATTAATAAAGCACACAAGTTTTCAAGTTCTTTTAAGTAAATTATGAGAATCAACAGCTACTGAAGTGAAAAAGGAACATCATTCAGCATCCCCCCCCCAAGTCTGCCACAGCTGATTCTTACTTATATAACAGTAAGTGATCCAAAACAAATGTAACAAACTGTAAAGGAGTTATCTTTGCCATAATATTTCAAATTCAACATATTCTCTCATTCTTGCACACATTTCTTTCAAAATATTAACTGGAAAATTCTACAAAATGAACAAAAGCTAATTTATAAATTTATGTAAAATTCACTGCTAAAGAGAACATTATAATGTTTTGTTCACCACAAAAGTGAAATGTATTGCAGGAAAGAAACTACGAAATACAACTAAAAATTACTTCAAAAGCAACTCCCTGATATTATGAACACACATAAGTGAAAAAACTTAACAGTAAATGACTTACGGCTAGAACCCATATCATGAACAGTAAGAAACACTGGTGTGTTGTCTGTAATCCCCTTGGTGGACCCCTGAAGAACAAAAAAATTTGCATTATATTCAACTTTTCAAAGAAGTAACCAAGGCTTACCCAAATTGATGTAATGCTATTTTTATGTAACTGAGGAATTATATATCAATATAATAAAACACAAATAAAATCAGCATAAACAACCATTTAGATACATACAAATTTACATTAATTTTTAGTAACAAGTATTGTCCATCAATCCTTTGGTGAGCCCAATGTATCAAACCAAAATTAATTAAGAATATTAAAACATATTAGTGAAACTAGTGAAAGCTTTATTTACACTTAATACCTTTGAGAATAGTTTGTTTTGGATATTTGTGCAAAGCTACAGAAGAGATATATGTGTTTGCTATCAGATTAGAGGGAGGGATGCTAGCCAACAGCACTCACTACCAACTCTTGGGCTACTCTGAACCAAACAGTGAGATCTTTCTATCACTCTTATAACAATCGCATTGCCCCAAAGTGAAAAGTTTAAGTTTTTATTTTATCTGTTGTTATTTTTTGCAGCAACAGGAGATGAACAATTTCTAGCATACATTTACCAAATCCCTGTTGGTGGCCCATAGAAAGGGGGGATTTTGAGTTTCGAAAGGTAACATTTTAAACATTATTAAGTTTAGTACTTGGAATGGGACTTTAGGGAAGTAATGAGATAAATGACTTGAGTCAAATATCAGTTCATTATGTAAGTGAAGCAATTATAGTGTTACCACTTTTAGATGAAAAAAATCCAAAAAAGGTTCCGGATCTCAGATCTGGATGGATCTGGCATAAATTAAGCATTTTATATGAATATATAGAATTTTCACTCTGAGAAGATTATAAATGAATCATGTATTCCTACAAAAAGTATACAAGATATTTCAGGAAATAAAAAGAGAGTTGTGTTTCAAATCCCCAAGAACAAAAAAAAAAAAAAGGTTTGTCAACTGTAGTAGGAATCGCTCTTTAAATCAATCACCCTTGTAAAATAATTACAACATGAGAAACCAACGAAACATCATGATGCATGTTATCCTCACGTGCTATACAAAAACAGAAAGAACTTAACAAATATCAAAAGATGCTTGATTTGCATTTAAAAAATTATCATTTTCAAATGGCTTTGGCTTCCCTTTTCTTGAAGCATACAAGTTACGTGAATCATATTGTACATATTTCTACAGTTTCATTTCCGGCAAACTATAATTTGATTCCGACTATTTAACAAACGCTACAGTTTCATTTCCGGCAAACTATAATTTGATTCCGACTATTTAACAAACGCTACAGTTTCATTTCCGGCAAACT